TACTTTTCATTTGTTTTATTTTGCAACATAAAGTGTTACGAATAATAAAAAATATTTATTACATTTATGGATTTTTTGCATCGTCACCACTGTAGCGTAAAACGACTAAACGTCACAAACCACAATTTACAACAGCTTAACAAAACAAAATCCAAAACAATATAAATGCACATTTTTTCACATTTCCGGACACCCACAACCAAGAAGGAATTTGGAATTTGCCAAATGCTAAGTTAACATGTCGTCTACTGGTGTGCATCAAAAGAGTGGTAATAGGATGGATAATATAACTGTTATTTGAACCAAAGTAACAAAACAAAAAAAAATATAAAAAAAAAATAAATAAATAAATAAAAAGGAAATAAAACGAAAATAAAAAATATCCTTACACTAAAAATACATAAAAAGCAAGTGGGTTGGAAAGGAAGCAAAAGCCAGGCGAAAGCAATGATTTGAAATATGCTACTGGCTAAGGTGGCAAGTGGCAGTAAAAAAGCAGCCAAGTGTAACGGATAGGCGTTAGTACACGCGACAATATTCCGGCAGTGCCTCAAGCAGAGAAGAGTTCACAATGAGGGTTAAAAGTGTGCACCAGAAGAAGTCTCATTTTGCTCGAATTTAACAGGGCAAAAAAATTAAATAAAATAAATATTGTAGATTTATATAAAGGAATAAAATGAATAAAAACGAAACTAAACGAAGCCGGAAAATTGTGTGGAAATTTGAGCTTCTTTGTAAGTGAGTAGTAAGAAATTACAAGAAGGAAATTGAAACCACCCTCCAGCCCACAAACTTATGCCAATACTTGTACTCGTACAAGCACGAAATATAAACGCGTAGACGACTGTTGTATTCTGTTGTGCTGTGTTGTGCTGTGCTGTGCTGTACTGTGTTATGTTGTATTGTGTTCTGTTAAACAAAATGTTTGTGGGTACAGAAAGCGTAAATTCAGTGGTTTTATATTTTTTTGCACTCCATCTTCTTGTGCCCCTCATCAACAACCTCTGCTATTAACTATAAGTCGCCCCCAACCACTTTAACGTTTTATTTAAATGGCGTACAGTTCAGAAATACTCCCTAAATGGTTGATGGAGCTTTGTGGGTTACGACTCAGCGACGGATGAGTGTGGCATGTTAAATGGTTTTGAGTGTTTTGCTATGGCTGACAGGATAACACGAAGTAATTCAATTCGAAATACTTTATGTTGTCGACATTGCCTTTTAAGATTGGTTGCTAAAAGTATGCTTCTTGTGAAGAAGGTTTTGTGTTTATTTTTATGATTTTTCGCTATATATACATATATACATATATACATTTTTAACGCATTATATTAAAAATTATACTTATAAAAAATCAATACAATTTACACTAATCTTATTCATTTGAAAAGAAATACACAAATATTTACATAATTTTTTAATATAACCGAAATCGTGTTAATGCTGGTGAAGTATTCTTTGTTGAATATACCAAGTAAAATACAACTAAAAAATCATTAAGTATATTACTCATATGAAACCTAAACACGTTATAGTGTTCGATAGCTAATACAATATACATTTGCAATTAAATACCTGAAGATAATAAATTTTATGCAAAAAAATGCTTCAAAAAATTTATTACACGTTTCACACATATTAGTCTAATTCACCACACTTTACCACGGTAAAATGATTGGTATAACCAAATGGATCGCATCCTCGATATTATTTATTGAAGAAATTAATAAAATTAATAGGTACTTCAAAATTTAAATTTTCAGTAATTTATTTTTAACAGTTAGTTATCATTTTAACACTTAAATGATTTTTAAGTGTATACAAACAAACTTCCATGGTACATAAGACAGCATTGTTGTTGTTGTAAATTTCTTGTTTTCTATACAAAGTTTTTGTATATGTTTTGTTGCGTTTTATTCTGTTAGAATACTTAACCTATTCAGCCCATAATTAAAATCGTTTTGCAAACTGTTAAATAAAGAACTGCTTATAACAATTAATACAGTTCTTTTTCTTGTTTTTATTCAATTTTTTTTTTAATTTCAGTCTTTTTTTTTTAATTAATTTTTTTTAATTTCTGTTTCTTTGTTCTTAATTAATTTTGTTTTTTAATATTAATTCAAATTTATTTATTCTAATTTTAAATTGTTTTTGATTTTAGTTTTGTTTTTTTTTTCCGTATAAATTAATTTGTTTTCAAATTAATTTTTTTTTAAATTTTTTTTTTAACCTTAATTTATTTTAAGTTTTTGCGTTTATTTTCACCATTCATGTGCTACTTTTTTTTTGTGTTTTTGATTTTTTTTTCGGAGTTTCAGGTGTCCGATTCGTATACGATTCGTATACAGTACAGACTTAATACAGTTCTTCATTTAAAGTTCATAAAAAGTTTTTATAAAATAAATACATTATCGATAAAAATTGAACTCAAAATAATCAAAAAAACAAATATGTACGTTACATAGAGAAAGAGAAAACAATAAAATTAGAATAAAATTTAAGAATCTAAGAATAAAAATGCTGTTAGCACTGAAATAAACTCTATTTTGATGGAATAATTATCACTTACAAATGAATTATTTATTAGGGCATCAAAAACAAATCTGTTGAATTGGAAAAATTTTATGAAGAATAACAACAGCCTTGCTTTGAATAAAGCAAAGAATTAAATATGAATACAAAAAAATTAATACATTAAATTAATACATTATAGTATCTGGTTTCAAAAATTTAGTTGGTAAGGTAAGGTTAAATTAGTGTGGCGGCCTTGTAAACCAAAACCGAATTAAGCTCAAAAAATAGGTAGTTGTTATACTAAGGACGATTATAAATAAACAAAAGCTCTACACTATATATTAACGTAAGTTATATATTTAAAATAGCACATTGCTTATGATTTATCATACCAAACTTAATTAAAATTAATTACGAGTGATTTACTATCACTTCATTCATACAAAGAATTGATACTCTCATTCTAACATAAAATACATAGTATAGATTTAAATTAACTAAAAACAAAATGCTAGTTTATAGCACTAAAACCGCAAAATGAAACGCCAGTAAAAGTGTCAAAAGGACAAAAAATAGAGAAATAAATTTACAAATACTGTTTGTACCAAATGACTATATAAGCATTTACAATGTTAAAACTATTATCAATAATGGAGAAATTGTTAAGTTCACGATATCCTATATATTTATGGAATTATATGAAATTAAAACATTAAGTTAACACTTTTTAATATTTTGTATATTTAATATTGTCAATGTTTTAAAGTTTTTTTGACTTTAAAACATATAAGAAAGTAATCTAGAAAAAATATTAAAAATTACAAACTTCGTGTTTTATTTTAATATATTTTGTTCACTAAAGTCTATTCAAATTTGTAAATATTATCAAAAATATTTAATTTTTAATATACCATATATGATATAAATTAAATATACTCCAAATTTTAAACGTTAAAACTAAAGTTAATGAATTGAATCCACGTCATATTAAAAATATTTCGCTACATAACAATCAGAATAAATTAATATATTAATTGTTTAATAATTATATCACGATTTAAACGCTTTTATCTTAGGAAATTCATATTCACCATTAAAAATTTTTTTCATATCGTAATTATTATTCCCAAGAAATGGTTTTATCTGTATTTAATTATGAATTATTTATATATTATATAATTATTTCTTAGAATTATTATAGCTAGATAAATATGGTAATACATGATCAAAAATTTTTCATTTTTCTCAAACAAAACAATTATTCCCAAGAAATATTTTTAATTGATTTTTCAGGATTAACAAAATAAGACATATATTTTATCCTATAAATCATTTTTGATATTTAGGAATTGCTCAACTTTAATAATAATCGCAATCTACTACGTGTTAAAAATTAATAAATCTGTTTTATTTGTTAATTAATTTCATCATTTGTTATGAAAAGTTTTTTTATGAAACATTTTTAAATGAGTCAAATTATTATGCAGTCATATAAAAACTCCCGCAAGGTATTGAAGAGCAAAAAGGGGGACTGGTTAATACGGAAGCAACAATATTAGGACATAAGATATGTGGCAGTTACTCTAAGACTTATATAAATGTTAGAGGATTTTATATTTTAAATATGACTGCTTTAAAGTTCAACATAAAGTTTTAAAAGTTGATCAATTTCTACTATGATTGTGATGACGTTAAAGCTCGCTCAAAGTTACATTTTTTTCAGTTTTTTTAATTTAGCATTTATTTTGAAAAGATATTTTTAAACTTTTTATAGAAATTAAAAGTTGTTGGTCTATGCAGCGTTGCAAAAAAATTGAAATATATGAAAAAAAGAAGTCTAAATAAATCTAAGTACATTTACAAAATCACCAGTAGATATTAAAACTGCATACTACATAATATTAAAACATACTACGGAGTTAAATAACTTGACCGTATAGTATTATAATCACGGTAAAGAACATAAAAATGTTATACTTTTTGTCATGTCATATTACAAACACTTTTCAAAGTCTTAAATATTATTCTTTCGATATAAGTATATGTGTGTATCTACATAAAACTGTACGTATGCTTATTGTACTTATGCTACTACACACCTAGTTACCTATTCGGTATAATTGTAGTGCAATACCTTGTAATGCTTCACCAAGTTAAGTGAAGCCAATTAATATTTATTGAAACAATTTGAGTTTATTTTGAACCTGACGACATCTTAAACGTTTTAAGTTTCCAGGAAATATAATACAACCGTTTATTTAATGTATGACTTAGAAGTGATAAAAAAATTCAAAACTTACCATCTCTTGACTTATCGTATTGTTTTGGTGAACTATTTTTTTTATTTGGAATGGATCTTATAGTTGAATTTATGGGCTAAAAAACATTAAATTAAATATTTTATTCTTATATATCTCTGTAAATTAAATACTTACAACACGATCTGAACGTTCGCCGCAAGGTAACCTAGCAACTGCAACATCTGGACTATCCTCAGGTGGCGGTGGTTGCGGTACCCAATTATATTCACGCAAGGAAATCGGTACACCGAAGCGATCATGGTGCGAGGACTGTTGTCTGAAATATATTAGTAAGATATTAGTCAGAATGATATGAATTTACAATATAAAATTATTAATAGTAATATAATCAATTTAACATGAGTTTATGTATTAAATTTTTCTTCTTTTTTGAGTGTGTATCCAAATTTCGATCTCATCGATCGTTAATATTAAACAACAAGTAATTTTCAACAATATACAATCGTTTTTCAAATTTCATTTTAGCTTGTAGTACATATAATACAATCATACAATAGTAGTTATCTAGTTATAATAGGTATATTAATATTGAAATTCTATATTAGTAATTATTATTTCAAATATTTAATATATGTTAACATACACAATAATACATTATATTGTTTATAATCACTGTGTATATATTTTTTTTTGATCGTGCTTAGTTTATTAGTTTTACGATGGTCTGAAAGTCATGAAAATTGAATTTGCTCTACACATTTTCTGCATCACCTCCATAAGATTTTCGGGTTCTTATACTCATTTCATTTATAATTCGTATTTTGACGTGCGTATAATGTGTACTAGATATTCCATTTTCTTCCATTTACTCGTTTCCAGCAGTTTCCTTTCTTATTGCATTCATCTGAGAATAGCTCTACAATGGTATCACAACATATTTTTACCAATTGGTGATAGAACCACATTAGCCATGGCTGAGTTTATCAACGTTCAAGTTTTTATCACTACGTGGTTAAATAATTTAAAAATTAGCTACATCGTAAAAAGATCATTTTATTTAATAAAACATTTTATTTTAAATCTATTGAAAATATTTGTTTACAACATTCTAAGATTATTATAAACTTTAACAAAGTGCATTTTAATGTTCAGTATTTATTATACTGTATCTTCTTCAGTATGATATATTGAGAAAAATATAAAAAACCTATAACAATAATTACCTATGTACTATATAATGCACTACAATTAATTTCAAATAAGTTAAATGTTAATATTAAGAATATATTATTATATTATACTAGAAAGCTGTTTAAGAACGACTGACTCTACATCAATAACCTAGGTACTTGACTATTTTCGTCAAAGTTTTGAAACTCCAAGTTAGATTACAACACAATCAACACAATCACATTATAAATTAATTTTTGAGAGCAAAAATATAAATTTATATCACTTTACTTCCACTTCAATTACTTCAATTAAGAAATGATTTTTTAACAAATTGAAAATTTTATTTATGATATATTACTATAATTTTTTTAAGAACTAGACAGAAATTGTTGGGATATGATATCCTTAGTAAGAACAATGCTCATGTTCTCTCTCTCTCTTCATTTCAGATTTTTTTAGACTCATTAAGGAAATTAAGAAATTCGAGATACAGTAGTCTATTTTTCATTGCAGTCGTTCCGTATTTTTAAAAATAAATTACTTCTAATTTTTTCAACTTTGAATTTTGGCAAACTTTATCTAATCAGGCATAATTAGTATTAATTAGTGAATAAGACGGTAACGTTATTTATGATCATAAAATCAAGTTTGTTTATAACGATTATAACTTTGTTGATTAAAAACTTGTTAGAATCTAATACATAATTATAACAAACATTTCATTCAATTCATTCCTCTAATATTTTAATAAATATTTAAATAAACAGAAATACAAATTTTTAATTTTAATGACTTTTGATATTGTATATTATTTTGGTTATTATTATTTTCACCACTTTAAAAGATAATGGTAGCATAATGGAAACATGGACTAATTAGACTAATTACCTATATGCACTTCTTATTTATAAAATATTTTCTTAGTATATCAGAGCAGCTATCTTTTTAATGAGACATTTAATGAGACAATACAATTGCATTCTTCGGTCCAATAAAGAAAAATAAATAATAATTATATTTGAATACATAAAAGTTTTCGTGAATAATATTGCACATAACATTTAATATGTTAAGTGTTAAGAACTAATAAAGTTCTAATATATGAAAAGAAATAAATTTAATTTTCTATTTTAGTAAAGTGTAAAAATGTTACAATTACACTTACCTTAGGCTTTCATAGCAATCTAAACATACAACCGCGTAGTCGCCATTCTCTAAGAGAAGGCCTTCATCACTTTTACGATTCTTAACAAATGGAAAATCATTAACTGGAAGCGCACGTACACGTTTACGATATGTTGTTATCCCACATAGATGGCATATGTAATCATGCCAATTATATTTTCTATTGGTTGGATTAACACTAGGACTTTGTGAATCATATCTGAAAAATAAATTTTGTTAGGTTTGTATTTTTTTTTTTAATGAAGCAATTAGGTTAACTTACTTTCGCCACTGATTTAGAAGAGAGTGGTAACAGAATGTGCATACCAGTGCTGATGAATCATTTCGTAATTGCTCAGCATTTTGTGGTGATTTATGATTGAGCAAATGAGGAAAATATGGTCGGGAACCCTAAAAATTAATTATACAATAAATATTATCGATATTAATAATTTAGAACATATGATAATTAATTAAGCATAAAATTTAAAATAAAATAAAGGAAAATTAAACGCAATACAAATTTTCACTTACTAATTTAATTCACTTAGTAATTTAGAACTCAATTATTTATAAAACAAATTTTTATTATTATGATATTAAATAAATATTATAATATTATGTCTTATCTTATTACGTCTTTAAACAAATGAGTACTAGTATTATTAATAAATAATAGTACTTCCATCTTACTGAATCTGTTGATTTTTATTTTAAAAATAGTTAATTATTTCCTTATTTATTAAAAAGACAATAATAAACATTATTAAAAAGGCAATAGACTATATCGTTTAAATTAGAATGATAATTAAAATTATCGTTTAAAAAATGGTGAAAAAATACCTAATTTCAAAATTTTTTGATATTTGTTTGGTATCAACTTTATAAAAAAAATAATGACAGTTCCAATACAATAGGACAATAGTATCCAACAGTCATTTTTTTACTACTTTTCTATTAAAAAAATAAATAGTAGTTTCAATATTATATTTGACTTTAAATATATGTGTAATTTGTTTTATTTATTTTTATATTTTTTTTTGTATAAAATCATATGCTATCTTTATTTACATATGTGACTATGTACTCTTCTGTAACGAAGTTCTACAATTTGAAAAGTCATTTCAATCATTTAACTAACAAGTTACAATAATACTAACAAGTACTAATAATAATATAAGTACTTATAATAATATAAGTACTTATAATAATATTAGTACTAATAATAATATTAGTACTAATAATAATATTAGTACTAATAACAATATTAATACTAATAATAATATTATAATTAATAATAATACTAATAACATTTAACATAAAATAACTGATAAAAAAATTATATTTAAGTGTACGTATTTTATACAATATATATCAGCCAATAAAAAATTACTTTTACATAAATATATACTTTCAATATTTATTATACAACAAGTAATAATATATATTGCATCCATAACTGTAATTTTCAAATTAGTGTAAAAAATATTGTAGTTTATATACCGTACAAAATATACTTATTATTACATTATAATAATTATGATATAATAATACGACAATATATAATATATTTTTAATATATATTACAGTATAATATATATCTTTGTACTACAGTATAAAAGAAAACATGTTAAGTCTGTGTGGTGACTTAACCTACATTATACAATATCTTATCTTCTTTTGTTACTGCACTGTACATTTATAATAAATAAACGAATTCTATGTATATACAAAAGATCTACATATATAACAGTTATTCAACATTTGTTATTATTTTTTAATATACATAAATTATACTTACTTCTTTGCTAGCGTATAAAACTCGAGCAAGCGTTAAATCCGAGTGTAAACCGCATAGAAAACAATAAATTGAAGTACTGGCAGGTGTTGAAGAAACTGAAGGTGTCGATGGAGGTGTATTAATATTCATACCATGTCGTGAACCATTTGGTGAACTTAATGAGGCAATTGAATAAGGAATGTTGTATCTAAATATAAATATAAAGATAAAAAATTAAAATAAATAACTCACAATGTTGAAATGTGTTTTAAAATTTAAATACCTTCTGTGTTCTAAAGGTACACGTTCAGCATCCATAGTTTCCCATTGTTTTGATAAATTACTAACACAATCCTTACAAGCTAATATGCGATTACTATTTGGATCACTATTATGCGCTATATTAGTATTGCCGTCTCGTCCATTGCTATTACTATTATTGCTGCTATTGTTGCTCACTTTTAAGCAAGGAAAATGCATTGCATGGGAATTCATATGCTCAGCACTTGTGTACAACCACTCCATTTTATTGGAAAAACACATTGTTTTACAAACATAACAGCTGTGTAAAGAAATTAATATTTATATAATCATTTAATTTTATTTTACTATTAAACATATGTTGCTACTCACGGATATTGTGCATGACCATTTTCTGTTGGTCCTTGATTGGATGTAGGTGTATTTGGTCGGGAATCATTTCGTCTATTGAGCTTTATATCACGTTGTGTTGACGAAGAATTTGAATTAGTCTCATATGGCTATATATAATAAAAATTTAATAAATAATTTATTAAGGTATATTTTTTACATATATTTGTGTATATATTATAAAACTTTATTATTTATTATTAAACTAAATATATAAATTATATTCTAAATTTAATAAAAAGTAATATAACAAGATATTAAATAAAATATTCATATATATGTAACAAAGAATGTGGTATAAAAAATTACTAATACAAAATATAATAAAAAAAATAACTGTGTTAACCCATTTTTTAGAAAAAAATAACCACAAAAGTGAATGTTCAACTAATTGTTTTTTTAAAAAACATTTATTTAAAAAAAAAAAGAATAATTTATATAAGAAAAACAACAATATTATTTTAATATAAAAATTCAATAAAGCATATTAAATAGTTAGGTAAATAATAGTAACAAGACACAAGTTAAAAGTCGTTATTTTTTTGAATTATATATTTGCTTTTTTGTATCTAAATATTTATTTTATTTCAACTTTTTCTTTATTTACTCAAGTTGAATGACTGAAGATATCTGGTTCTGAATTTGTGTTTGCCAGTTTTGTTATCAAATTATTTTTTCAGATTTTTTTTTCGCTTACGTACTTCAAGTTTGCTGCTTGCTTTTTGTTATTAAGACGCTTGTGCAAATATTTTAAATTTTTCGAAACTCGAATTTATAAGAACAAATAATAAAAGGCAAATTTAAATGATATTAATTAATCCAAGTTTCCACTGTCATATATATTCACTTATCAAAAAATAAATAAAAGCTTTATTTAACATTTTCCTTTCCCCAGCCTTAAAATTCTTCAATGATCTCTCACTGTTTAAATAAGTCTAATAGAATAACTTTATATGTATATATGATATCAATTACATATTTTTATTTAAAAAATACTAATATTTAAATAATTTTTATATTTATTTTATTTTATAATTATTTTTATTTTTATATTTATATTCTATATTTATTTTATTTTATATTTATTTCATTTTATTTTATATTTATTTATATTCATTTATATATATTTTTTATATTTAAATTTAAATAATATAACATATCTTTAAATGTTCACGATTACTATTATTATATTCACTATTACAGTGAATACTAAAAATATAATTCAATGTTCTTTAAACGTATTTTATTATAGTGTATAGGAAATATAATTATTATTTGAAAAATTCTAATTTATTTAATCAATTTATTATAAGCATTCAAAAACTGCATAAATTTAAATCCCTATTCGGTTCAAAAATTGTTTAACTTTATGATATTTTTAATTACTTTTATTGTCTTATTACAAAACAATGATGTCAATCAAAAGCATATGTCTATTTAATGTGTGATTTCGGTGTAGCCACCTTCGGATATGTAACGCGTTAAATAAATGACATATAACATGTTACATTTGAGTGCAACCAGGTTTTAAAATAAATAATTAAATGCCTAAAAGTAATTTTAATAATATTATTACTGTTGTTATATATAGTAATACGTTCTCCACCGTGTTTGTTATACGAAACACACACATTCCGTTCTCCATAGTGAAAAAAATAGAATATACTTTATAAATTATTTAATATAATTTATTTAAAATCACATCGAGTGTAGTTCACATGACAGACACTTTTTTAGGGGCTGAAGTTCACTAAAAAATTTTTTTTAGTAATAGCTTACCTATCAATTACTCTTACATACATAATCATACATACGTATAAAAACTTACAATTAAATATATAATAATATTTACATATATATAACTATGATTTATTACTTTAAGTTTGTTTAGCAAAATAATATAAAATATTTTCTTATCAGTGCCACCGTATACAATGTCAATTTATGAACAAATTTAAGTGTACAAATGTCAAGATAAGATAAGATTTGCGATTTAAATTATAAATATTTTTACGACTTTAATTCTATTTTCAAGTATGTGCCAAAGATATATTACCGGAATAGTCTTATATCTAAGATCATACAAATTGGCAGACGGTTTATCATCTATTAAGCAGTCTTATAAAATAAATACATTCTTAACATTCATGTAAATAAAAGTCTGGTTTCAACTGGTAAATGTGCCGTGCCACTTTCATTTACGACAATTCCAAAAATAAAATGCTATTAAAAATATATGTATAATAAAATATTTTATATGATAACAGTTTACTTTTTTATACACGATGTTTCCGTACATTATATTACAAAAACAAAAATTAAAATATAATTATATTGCAGATAAAATGGCAATTTAATAGTATTAGTATGTTATCTTTAAAAAATTGTTTGGACATTTCTTATAAAAACCATATAATAAAATAAAGTAAATAAAATAAAAAATATAACGTTTTAGGTTTAATTGTTTAGGCAATTTGTTATCTACGAACAGTTGTTTTCTTAATAATAATTTTTTTATGTGTTTTTTTATGTATTTATTTTTAACAATATTTGCTTATCAAATATAAATTGTGAAATCAAATAAAAAGCTAATTAAAATTATTCATTCGAAAACGGTATATACATAAGTGACAGCTAATTAGCACTTGTTTTTTCCAGTTAAAATATAAAAAAGTTAATGTTATGTAAGAATATTAAATATAGCCAATTAAAATATATTATATTATTAATATATAGCAATACTAGATATGCAGTATCAATGAAAACTTCTATAATTTTATATATTAATAAATAATATAGAATCAATAGATCACACCACATTAAATTAATTATATGAAAAAAGTATTTATAATTAATACAACAATATGCTTTAACAATAGGGTATCAATGAAATAAACAAAACAATATAACAACGTTGGGAAATAATTATATAGGATGGTTTTCGAAAAGTTTATCATCATTTACATATAAAGCAATTCATCTAGTCTTGACAAATAATATGTATACTACGATATTCCATCTTTTTTTCAGTAAACTAAATAAAGTCTGGGGAATAAATTCCCACCCACTCTACATTAACTCCTCTTTCTTTATTTCCCCTCTTCCAACTTATGTATTTACATTGTAAACCTTATATATTACAGGTCACAGCAGACTACTACAACAGCAATAACAAGTCTGGGAAATCGAACTAAAAAATATTGTCAGATCTGTTGAGCAGATTGGTTAAGCTGTCCAGAAATAGCACAATAGATCTTACAATAAAAAACACAAGGCATTTAAATGTGGCAAACAAAAACGATTAGGAAACTGAAGGTAATAATAATAAATTACACCCATGTGATGTTCAATGTAATTTACAGAAAATGAAAGAAAACACAAACTTTAAAAATTCAGACAAGATACAATTGGAAATACGTTATATCTTATGTGGAGTTGTGTCTTAAAGTTCTGTGAGATACATCATTTGTTGGAACATGATATATCAATTAAGGCATATAACTAAACTTATTAAACCTGACATTATCATAAATAAAACATGTAGGACAATTAAATTAATTCAGTTCAATTTTAAATATAGTGCGTAAATTATATCGTAATCGGTACATCAGTAGTATTTTTTAGTAATTAGTAATATTATTCATTAATTTCGTTAAGAATTTTAAGATTTATTTCAATTAAGCTCTACTTGTTCTAATTGTTCTGTCGCAGTTAATTGCGACAGAATGTCTTTACAATCAACAGTACGCATCATTTAAACAATTGTGGTAATATCTTTCCTTTGTGGTAGAAAAATTATATAATATACACTAATCAACTAATATGTCATCTATTTAAAAAAAAGTTACCCACAACAACTATCGTTTCAAAGTCAAGTAAACAGAAAAACACCCAATACTTTTTCATAAATCCAATATAATTTTATAAAGAAATTTTTGTTATCACATATTGAAATATTTATATAATTAGTATGTGAACGTTCAAGGTGATGACTCAGTTTACTAAGTTATTATTATTATTTATTATTTATAAGAAACGTAAATTTAAATTTACGAGTAGTTAAAATGAAATATATCTTTTATGCATCAAAAAATACTACTATCAAAATATATAGACAAAATTAATATATCTGAAAAAGATGTTGGGTGTAAATATAAATATATTAAGTACATATAATTTTGTTTTATAGTAATAGTTTATTACAAAATAAGTCATAAAATATTGCTTTAGAAAAACAAATATAATAATCATAACAATAAATCGTTGAAAAAATATTTCCACATTGAATAATCATATTTAAAATTGATTTATGTAGAAATAATTTTTAATATATATATGTTATATATATATATATGTATATAAAACTAATTGGCCTCGTTGATAACCTTTGTTACATGAGGGAACCTTTCTGGCATTTGTGTTATCAGAAATATACTGACGTGTTAATTATTATTGTCGTTAGTGCCGCATTATCAAAAGAAGATTCTGCCGTTTAACGATACAATAAAATATTTTTGTTCTACTGCAAATAGCTTGTGATCATGAGAAATAAAATAAAATTAAACACAATAAATAGAGATAAAGCCATAAATTTTCCAGAATTGTAACACATAATAGAAACTGCATACATTGAACACTTATTCTTATTAAAACACGTTTCGGAATTTTATACTAAACGACAAAAAACCACGAAATCATTAGTTTAAGTATAATTAATATGTAATTCTAGAAAGCAAACAAAATGGTAAAAACTCTTTATAAATATATATAATTTTCTATTAATATAAAAAAATATCGTATTGCATTATTATTTACTATTACTATTATTCACATTCTTTACTTCATTTGAAATAACTCAATCCTTTCTTGCCGAACACTCTTCTAGTATGAGCACAAATTAGGTTACAATGCGTGTACGCTCATTATATTACTGATTAGTTATATTACTTTTTACACTATTTTATTTTTAGCAAATAATCTTTAAATAATATTTTTATATATAAAATTGACTTCTCAATAACTTACCTTAAAGCGAACATTGCTTGTGGAATCTGAGTTTGCTAAGGATTTTTCAGATGGTGTATATCGTCCACCACCTCCGGTAGGCAGACTAGCCCCTGTTATATTATTTACTGTCGTATTAACATTAGAAGCTCCGGTACCACAGGCTATGCCATTATCTGCACCGCTTTCAGAAGCACCGGCTATGCCGCTATGTGCTGCTATATTAGATACCGGCACAGCCGGATTTCCACCTTCTGCTAAATGCGAGTGTTTATCATAACAAGAGGAACATATCTGAACCATTCCTTAAAATCATAGATACACATTATTTTAATTAAACAAATTAACTAATTTTGATATAAATAATTTTGTACTTACCTTGAGGACTAATTGGACTAGCACTTTTAAAAGCTTTCATTGTTTTTATAAATGGGTAGTACGGTTCACGTTCCGCATTTGGACAACAATAGACTAAGCGTAATTGAGAGGAAGGCGTATCGCAACCACATGTATAACAAACGAAAATTGTGCGCTCCGTAACAGGGGTTGGTCTTTTCCGCAATGTATAAGATCGATCATTTTCAGGAGTGTTTGATATCTAGGGTTAAGAAAATATATATAATTTATTTTTTATAAAAACAAAAACTTTTTAAATATTATATGGTATATTTATTTGTTTAATACAAAAATTTATTTTTAAAAATTATTTGTATTCAAAATTTCTTAAGACAATGTTTGTTTAGTCAACTGCTCCGTATCAAATTATTCGAAACAATATATTATTTACTATGACTTCAACATATTAGTAACACTTGAATAAACGTGTTGTCTTTTCAAATAATGTTAATAACCTTTGTCTATATAATCTATTTCTAAGAAAATTTATAGTTGCAGCATTATTATTTTCACAACTGTTTAAACTACAAGTTAAAAACTTTACATAAAAAATACAACGAATATTGAACATCGACTCTACCATATTTTAATAAAAATAAATTTTAGAGTGATAACTACTTAATACAAACAGATTTTTTTTTGATACATTTTTCTAGAATAAAAATGAAATTTTACTATTCCTACTTAGAACTATTAACGAATTTCGAATGGCATTTTCGAGATGTTTTTCTCTTTATAAAGATGTTAAGTAGTATTGTAATATTGTTTAATAGTTTTTATAGTCGATAACGTGGTAGACTTTTAGAAGTCTATATATTTTTAATATGTAAAAAATGTAAAATTTTTTTTGTATGTAACGAAAAAGTATTATCTTTTGACAAAATACATTATTATATCGAAGTGTTATCCGTATTGTGCAGGACTCACGGATAACTGTTTAATGATGATCAAAAGTAACTCATAACGTTTTTCTACGTTACTCATAACGTAACGTAGATAATATAATTTTGACTTTTATATTAATAGCTAGCTAGGTTCAATATTGCCTATCCTCTGTAACCCCTATCCTCCGAATACTCCACGTTCTAGCCTGCTGTGTATTGTTGTTTTATGTGTTACCTTTCAACTCCACCTCATGGATTAACAATAACAACAGTACTCAATTTCAGAGTTCTTTATTTTCTGCAGAGCTCAATTAGGCAGTTTTAACTAAAACAAGTACCAATAGAATTGATCAATATTATTTTTAATAGTTTTAGTAATATAAAGTATAACATTGTCATGTTAGCAGATATCATTCTGCAATATGTAAATATGAAAAATTCAAATATTATAAAACTGGAAATTTATTTATTTACCCTGCTAAATAATCGATACCATTAGCAGCCTGTTTAATAGAAAGACAGGCTTTCTTCACTTAGGACCCAAAGTATGTGATCATCGTGAAACTACAGCGCATTTTTAAAACACTGAGACTGTAAGGAAGTTTGAATACAAACACAGTGTATTTTGAAACAACATATAATGTTATATACAGTTGATATCGAATATTTATATATATATATATATAAAGAACTGGAAATCTATAGTGAATTAATGTATTTTGGTTAGTGTCTGGTATTACGGCACAAATGGTGAACCATATTTGCAGCATTTGCCAATTTGATGCACAATCACCGTAGAGTAACTAAAAAATAGTGTTCAATCAGTCGGTATGCTTACCTATTAAACAGTGCGTTGTTAGTATACCTGTAGTGAAGAACGAGAAACTATCAGAGCAATCAGTTGCTTTGATCTTTGCTTTGTAGGTGAGAGTTATCATATATATATATATAGTATGACATAAAATTTCTGCGGGCCATTTTTATTACATCAATTACAAATTTGAATATTTGTATAACTTACAAATTTTATTCGTACAGTCAGTTTACGCTCTAGATTGAAATACCCGACCACACAAAGTAATTTATATTATAAGGAACAAATATGGTTTGAAAGAGATGTATGTTATTCAGAAATGTACAACATTCTAATACGAGTACTTCTAATTCCTACTAAATACTTTTATAAATTATTAAATAAGATTAATTTCTAGTAAACAATTATGGTTTTTCTAATAACTTAAGATCTGTTTCTAAAAGATTAAATACTTGATAACTAGTTTAAATTGAAACCAACAGACAGACGGACTTAGTACGATCGATTCGTTTCATGTATGAATAATAATTATTACTAATACTGTATAATGTCTCTAATGTTTATTTACGTTACAAACAGTTTAGAAAATTTAATATACCCATTACAGCAATGTATGTGTGAAGGACATAAACATAATATAATTGACTGATTAGACTTCAATTTTCATATCAAAACAATGCCGTAAAATTAATTAATTTAATTTGGAAAAAAAATTTAAACAATGCAAAATATTTTATTACTTTTTAATATTAAATTTCTAAGATAAGATAGAATTGAAAGTAAAAGCTCAGTATAAGTTTCTACACCTGAATATTTATATAGCCAAACCTACCTATTTATATATGCATTATACACATTATATGAGTCAATTATTATAAAATTAAAATATTTATATATTCATCATAAATTACTTAAGTTAATTTTTCACGTATTAAAATTATACTTTGAATTGTTTCACATGGAATTAATAAGTGAGTAACGTAAAATTTATTACTAAAGTGCATTTGCACTTCTACATGAAAAAATACTTAATCGCATATTTACAATTGTATTCAATAGATGATTGTTTATATATTGTTTATTGTAAGCTTTATACGTTTTTGTATTTCAACTAATTACACATTTTTCATTTGAAATTAGGTGTCACAGTTTATATTCATGGACTTGAAATTTAATTGAAATTTTAAATTGTTTGCATTTAAATCAAATTATTTAATCTTGTATTTTTTTATTAATTTGATTTATTTTAATAGATTATTTACATTTTAATGAAACAATTCAAATTTCCGTTTTGACTTATAATGTATTTGATCGTTTCGTAAGCAACAAACTTAAAACAAAAGTATTGAAATTATTGAATAAATTAAAATTGTTTTATTAATAAATTTTGGCAGAAACGACTGCGATTAATTTAATTATCTTAATTTGCATTAATTTGTTAGCTTGTTTTGTCATTTCTATTTTTTGCTATTTTTTTTCTTTTTGTATTATATATTTTTTTTGGTGTTATTTTTAACTTTTTTATTTTGCCAATTTAGCGATCATTATTCATTTAGTAATTTGCATAATTATCATAAGCATTTTTTCTTTGCCTTATGTACACTTAATTGTTTAACACAATTTATACAATGTTTTCACGTGAAATCAACTTTCTGATCGTGTAATACAAACTTATTCGACGAAATTGCTTATTTTGTAAATTATTACCATTTTGCTTTCATTTAAATAAAATTTAACATAATTTAACTTTAAACCGGTTAATGGACGATGACCATATAAAATTACCATATTATACTACAAAAAAATTAGGAAGGGGTCAATATAGTTTGAAAACTAAGTCACATAATTCTGTTATCGTTGAATTAGCAAAGAAGAAGATGGGACGATCACGGAAACAGACGATGACGATAATGTAAAATGATCTAAAAACTATTTATGTAAACAGTCACCACCGACTAACCAATGATTGTGTGATCTAAAGGAAGACAGTGGAAGAAATCCAAACTTACTAAGACATATAACGTCATTAATAATTATAATAACGAAGTAAATATGAAACTAGTCTTCAAACAGTAACATTATTTAAAGAGGACTAAATATAACTAGTAAATAGTGAATAACATAACCTTTTGCAGAACAAACAGATTCTTGAGATTTCTCAGAAACGATCAAAAAAATCATACGAAAGAAAACTCTATTTAAAAATAAAATCTTGAATTACTACGTAAGAACACATATGCAACATATTCCAATCTGTTAATGGCAATTGGTCATTGTCAGGCACAAGCACAACTTAGATAAAATCAATTAAAAACTTTTTCTAGAGCATCAGTAGTCAGTTGTATTACCTCCCAAAATATAACATTAAAGGTTCGAAAAGGTTTCAAAAACATTAATATTTATACAGAAACACAATTTGTAACTTAAAACATATTAGTTTTCAATAAACATTCGTAATTGTTTTAAACCCTTTAGCATATAAACAGAAACACAATGGATCAAAGGTCAAAGTGGATCCCCAGGTTTGCTATGACAAATTAATTTTTTAAACTGAAGGGATAGAATATATCTTATTATTTACTAATAACTTAAATCACTACAGATACTAGACTATATCTATACTACTACGAGCAAACGAATATGTCTCAATACGTTTTTACCAGCTGTTATAAAAAGCTGAGCAATAAGCAATAGATAAGATACGAGAGCTCAATAATAAACTAATTTTAGTTACATCATACAAAAACACAAAATTGGCTATACCGAACAATTTAATAGTGACAAAAAAATGTAATTTTGCTACAACTAATTAATAATCTCTTAAATAAGTATAACCCTAACTAAAAATTAATTACATACACGGATCACTTCATGACAGGGTAGGACCTTTTTATTTTGAACTGGAAAAGTGCTAAACCATCATTAAATTAAATATATATTATGTCTATCAAAGAAAACTGTCACCCGTAATATATGCAGCCTTTAAACTGGTTAAAAAAAAGATTTCAAACTGTAATTTTTCGTCACAAAAAGTATCTAAGTTAACAAGCTAACTATTATTGACAAATTAGAAGGTTCTATACTTATTTTCAATAACGTTTAGTTAACCCATAATGTTGCAAATAATTGATGCAATTAAGTAAGTGCTGTTTAAGTATATTCTATATGTTAGGATTAGTGTAGTTTTATTACCTATATCTATAATTACCTTAACAACATGATTCAGCATATAAACTCATAATTATATTAATAATGGAATACTAAGAGATGATTTACATTAAAACTAATTACTTCTAGAAACGAACTTTATTATTTATTTATTTAGGTTATTTAATAATAAAAATAACTCGAATAGTTTTCACATCAAACCTACAAAAATATTAAATACTATACTATATTATTTTAAAATGTGTATAAATTAAAATAGAAAAGAAGGAAAAATCGTTATAAAGCAAAGTTCGTTCCTTTTTATAAATTAGTTTTAATTATATTATTTCGTAGTAA